CATGTTATCCAGGTGGTTTTTTCATCTTCAGTTCCTTTCCCATTTCCACAGGCACCGGGCACCCATGAATATTTTTTTCTTAACTCAGTGATCCTTCAAACATTAAAAAAAGTTAACAATTTTTTGGTTGGTAACAGAGGTTCTACATAACTTCATTTAATTCCCACCTCAAATTAGTTTTAGAATAAGGCAAACTAAACTCCCTTTAGGTTCTTTTGACCAATTTTCTATACAAAGAAGAATTTTAGTGTCTGATTATTAATAGCTGTAGTAGGTGTTATTCAGTATATACTGTGTTCATTGTGCTGAATCTTTCTTTAGCCAAAAGAGCTAGTTACATGAGTATTCAGTTTAATTAAAGTTCCTAGCCTGATTGTGAAGATTTTATTCTATAACCCAACATATCTGTATACTATTTTTTAAAAGAGTGCTCTGATAATGCAATAACCTCAGACCGTAAACAAAACTAGCAATGAAGTGTCAAAATTGGCGGTAAGCCACGCCTGTACGGTTGCTTCTAACGTCCAGGGAGTAATGGAATTTGCTCAACAGCTTGACGGTTGCCATCACAAGGAAGTTATACCCTCTAAAAATATACAGTTGTTGTTATTTACGATATTTATGTCTCATAAGGCAGCTCTCCAACCCTTTTGACACCAGGGGCCGTTTCGTGGAAGACAGTTTTCCATAGACAGTGGTGGAGTGGGGGACCTCGCCGCCTCGGCTCCACCTCAGCAGGCGTTGGATTTTCACAGGGAGCGCAACCTGGATCCCTCGCATGCGCAGTATGCAGCGGGGCTCTCGCTCCTACGAGGGTCTCATGTCTGATGCGCTGCTGATCTTAAGGGGGAGGCGGGGTTCAGGTGGTTATGGCAGGGTGGGGTGCGTGGGGCTTTGCTTGCTCGCTCGCCTCCTACCGTGCACCCGGTTCCAGGTGGGCCAGGGACTTGCCCCAGGTATAAGGTCTACGTGAACACTGAATTAGCAAATACTGAGCCATCGTTCTTAGGGGAAGCACAGGGTTGGTTTTCTTTGAGCCTCTGGTAATAACATTTTTGTTCACGGAGCAATACATAACCTTGTTTTATGGTTTTTTTTTTTTTCTTGTTTAGAGACACCTTATTTAATATACATCGTTGATCCATTAACATTGAACTTAGGCCAACAGCACTGTAACTCATGCCTAAACAAAGCTTACCTAACACATATTTTTCTCCATAAGGCACATCACAGCCTTCCTGCCTTGGAAACATTAGATAGCACTTCAGCACTATGGTTGGGGGCCGTTTTGAACCGTGCAATCACCACCAACAAAAAGCGCAAAAAATACGTGACACTAAAGAGACTGAGAAAAGAACACTTGACAGTATGAGAGCTGAAACAAAAAGCAGTGTCACCTTGTTTGATCCCAGCTGGGAACGTGTGTCAGGAGGCTCAAATTTTCCACCACTCCTGTACGTATTCGCAAATTACTGTGAAAGCACCACAGGTATTGACTTTGGGGATTACAAATAAATTTTTAGCAAGCAGACTGATTCCCAAATGTGGAATCTGCACATAATGAGGATTGACTATAATTGCTTTATTAAAGCATTGATCTTGAGAGGATATGTTTCTACAAATGCAGATGCTTAATTCCAGTAAGCTTTTATGACAGTCTGGTACGTAGCTAAAGAACACTTGTTCCCTGCTAGAATGTTACTGAATTAACCTAATTCTTCATTTTAAAAATTATAAAAGTAATAGCGACTTGCCTATAGAAACCTCATAATGAAAACAATAACTGAACTATATTGATACCCTTGCAGTAGAACCTTACTTCTGTCTACATCACTGTTTCCATGGAAAAATTTATTCCAAATTCCAACTGGAATGCTTGAGTCCATTTGCTTCCTGGGCCTTCACTTCCAAAGATGACTGATCCACCACACACACCTACAATGTAGGACTTCCATTTTTCCTTCTAGTCTAGTTCTGAGGCTGCGCCTAGAGTTGTTACAGTCAGATTCTGGAGGGTATGAAGGAAAGATCAAGGTTACAGCTCCTAGAAGGCAGGTTCTTCCTAGAGGGAAGACAGGAGAGACAGGTTCTTCAGATGACTCTCATGAGTAATGCTGTGATTTTTAGAGGTGCTAGAGATGATTGTCAGTATAGCCCCAAACCTGACAGAAGCCATGTTTTCCTGAAAACAGTGGCCCCCCCTAGAGATAAAATTTGAGGCAGCCTGGTCCATTGATCTGATCTATTAAGGCAGTGGTCCCCAACCTTTTCGGCACCAGGGACCGGTTTCATGGAAGATAATTTTTCCACGGACTGGGTTGGGGGGTGATTTCAGGATGATTCAAGTGCATTATATTTATTGTGCACTTTATTTCTATTATTACATTGTAATATATAATGAAAGAATTATACAACTCACCATAATGCAGAATCTAATGCTGCCACTGGTCTGACCAGAGGCAGAACTCGGGGTGATGGGAGGGATAGGGAGCAGCTGTAAACACAGATGAAGCTTCGCTCGCTCACTTCTTGCTGTGCAGCCCAGGTTCCTAACAGGCCATGGATCACACAGGCCTGCTTTCCTTATGGTTTCAAGTCTGAAAGATATTATTAGTGGTATTAAAACAAAAATGCAGATGCCGGTCTTCTGTGTGTAATGAGCCATGGTAGGAAGTCTCTTATCAAGAAGATGAATACTCTGCAAGTTTAATATTACTAAGCAGTATTATTTATGCTCAATGTTTTCCCATAAGATTACTATACTCTGTAATATTTAACAAATTTACATGTCTTATGTTCATTTCTATTCACTTAATAAAAGTTCCAAGTGAAACAGTGGTAATTCAGGTAAGAAAATATGTGGTAGTATACTAAAGCCAAAAAAGGAATATAGAACTTATATGAGGTATCTAAAACAATCAAATTCATAGAAATAGAGAATAGAATGGAAGTTGCCAGAGGCAACCCTGTCTCAAAAACTAAACTAATGTATTAAAAGGATAGATCTCATGTTAAGTGTTCTTTCACAATTAAGAAAAAAATGAGTCTCATAGGATTCTTTTAAATGACAAGTTTCTTTGGGGAGAGGGAGGTTTTCAATGAGATTTGACCTTTCTTGGTACATTTCCCAAGTTTAAGATCTTTTGGTGAAAAATAAGGGACTAGTTATTAAATGGACTTTAATTCAGCCTTTAAAAAAATTTAATAAAGCAATATGTTAATGTTTGGCCATGTTTTGAATAAAGAAAGAATAAAACATGTTCTAATTTTAGTAAATAGAGTGCTTAGTAGAAAAGGGAAAAAAAATCTTTTAAGTGAGAACTCTTCTGTTTCCTTTCCTTAAATGTTCTCTAGATTGAAGGGCAGCATATAAAACTCGTATTTGAAATTTAGAGTGCACACCAGCCTATTAAAATGTAAGAGAAGTCTAGCCGTAAAGGAACTTGTTTAACTTAACTTACTGGATTTCTTATATTTCTTTGACTTTGGAACCCATTTTTCCCCAGGAGCTTTAACACTTCACAGGCCCTCTGAACTGAGGAACACAGTTATGGGAATCAGCTTGTCATTGGCAAGATGGCCCTTTCTCTGTTTATACAGTAGGGTTATGAAACATTGCACTGTCTTGTAGGCAGAGAGAGCTGAAGCTGCGCACTGGGAAATTAACGTTCAGTCAGTCCTTGTTTTCAGGATGGCAAAAAGGAATTTTTTTACCTTCTCTGGATAAAGTAATTAGGTTTCTTCTTCACCTTGCATGTGTTCTGACTGATCTAGCCAGGTGACCAGGTGGCTTAGAACTGTCTTAGGTCCTCTAAGAGAATGTTCAAGGGACCAAGCTACTGTTTATAGTAAATACCGTTTTGTAAGAAAAAGTTTTAGTGTTTTTTAAATAACTTTTTTAGTAAGTCATTAATCCTGAAACACCAGTGCCATTGTAAACCTTTAAACAAATCCGAATGTTCTCTTAATTAAATCAATGTTTATTGCATCTCATAAATGTTAGCATTCTTTTGTAAAAACAACAAAGAAATAGGAAGACCACAAAACAATGGAGAAAGTAAATGATAGATTGATTCGAGCTTTAACACAGGAAGAGTTGAGATTTTTAAAACCCATGGGAAAAAAAATTGTGTGTAATTGATTTTTAGCAGGTTAATATCATTCTAATCAGTATAAGAAATCAAAGCATTTGGTTTGACTATATGAGAATGTAAAATTTTCTGCTTGGCATATAATACAACCAAATAAAAAAATCAAACACTGGGTAAATACAGCAAGTATAACAAAAGGCTATAAGGTTTGTATAATTCGGGTAACTCTTAAAATTTAAGAAAACAGTCAAGTCTGTTTAAGTGAGAAAGGGGCAAGCAGTTCATACGTGGGGAAACTGTCAGCCATCAGAGTAATTCATTTCCTTCAGCTAAAATTTTCTGCACACCTGTCCTCATGCTGTGCTTGGTGCTGCGTTTTGGTGGTGATAAAGATGCTCTCACTCCTGGGGGAGAGAGGGAGGCAAGGGACCCATTAAACAGAGGAGCGCAAATTGAGTTAGTAAGATACCTTGACAACTGTTTTTAAAAATTGTTAACAATAATGGCAAAGTGATGGAAATTGGTGCAATTATTCATGATTCCTGAAATGACAGAAACTTTTTTCCTTTTTTTTAGCCTCAGAAATTATCCTAATGAAAGCATTCAAAAAAAAAGGACAGAAAAACAGCTCATGTATTGCGCAATATGTCAAATAAGAATTTTTAACCCAATGGAGCATGACTTAATGATTAAAATTATTATAAAAATAGTAGTAACATGAAACAATGTCATGATAGGTGGCCGTGGTTGCATTTGTGCTGCTGAATTCATTTCTGTAAAATAAGTAAGCATGTGGATTTTAACAATAGTAGGATTATGACATGTTAAAATTTGTATAATATTTATGCAGTTACTAGAAGAAATGTTAAGATTTATTTTATTAAAAAGGATTTTTTCCCCTTTTTTAAGCTGACTACACAGACTCTGCCTTCTCCATCCATGTTCCTGTAGCCTGAGACATGACCTGACACCCTGATGACCACTCTCAGGGCCCTTGTGTGACTGGCCGCTGCACCATGGAACTTAAAGTATGGGTGGATGGAGTTCAGAGGATTGTTTGTGGGGTCACCGAAGTCACAACTTGCCAGGAGGTTGTAATAGCCTTAGCTCAGGCGATAGGTGAGTATACTCTGTGGGTGTGTGAGATGAAAGTACATTATGCTTCTTTTTGTTAGGTGCATGGGTTTGTTCGTTTGTTTGTTTGTTTGAAATATAGGTCTCTAGTGGATGTCGTTCGTTTAGTTCCATAGTAAGTCACATGGGCACATTTTTACTTATTACTGTTTGACCATATTGAGGTAAATCTGCAGTGATGCTTGTTCTCTGACTCCCCCCAGATTTTTTACTAACCTCAAGTCTAGCATCTGCACTGCCTTCTCCTCTCCCATTGTTTCGTTTAAACAGTGATTTCTGGAGGAACTAAAGATGTTTTCTTGAGCCAAACTTAGATTCATTCCTAGAATCCCTCATTAGGAAAAATCCTACTTATTGTTTATTTCTGAATACTTTCAGAAAATACCGCAAAGTAAATAACATTGTTCTTTATTAGGAAGATAATGTTTACTTTTTAAATCTTATTTAAAGTAAGTAAAGATGAGCACAGCTCCGGGCTCCATCTTACTCTCCTACCTTGTTTTACCTTTTCTTCTAATTTATTTTAAACTGATATTTATCATAATTTATTCATGTTTATTAGTTCCTTAAATCCTTTTGGAACAGGATGAAGGGCATAAACACCTGCATCAGTAAAACCAGTAATGTGTATTAAAGTTTGTATTTCATCTTAAATCTGTCATTTGGCAAACATGAACTAAGAGGAAATTGTCTGGCCAGCACCATGCTAGGTGCTCAGTGCCTTTGTCTTTGAGTTTCTCATCAAAAGTTTATTTTATGTCCTGCTAGTTTATAGTGGAAGAGTTACAATGTCGCCAAGGCACCTTAGCATTTGGTAGAGACAGTGGCACCACCTGTGTTGTGACAGAGGCACTGTTGGAAGTTGATAAAGCCCTATGCAAAGATAGAGGCTTTCTTTTAATGTTGGCATCTTTTTTTTTCCTTAAACACTACAGCACACTAAAATATTACAGCAATGCAAAAAATCCTAAGCTTTCACATCCAATGAAATTTTCTCGCATTTGGTACTAATATTATATTTGTAGACTTAAGTTTAATAATTAAAGAGGGGAAGTTCAAGGCATTTAATTTTATTTCATATTCTTTTCTACCAACTTATTTGTAATTGCCCCTGTTAAGAGCCTCACATAATTTATTTGAATTTAAATATACAGCCTTATTTTCCTTAGTGAAGACTAGGATTATCATTTGTCAAATCTAGCTTTCTTTGTTATATTTGGGAATTAAGCCACAGGCAGTGCTAAAAAAAAACAATGAGTAGTTTTAACAAAGTCAGAGTAGTTGAGTAGTGCTGTAAGCTGCCTCTGTCCATATGGTAACAACATTTCTACACAGAATTTCAAGGAGAAAAATGCCCAGATGTACCAGGTATATGTTTATTCAACTGGACTAAAGAATATACTTATTTGTGAACAAATGAAAAACAAGTTTTAAATTAATCTACCTTCCCATTTTTTCTTTCTCAATAACTCAGTCCCAAGACCTTTTTGAAAAGTTGACAACTTGAATGCAGATGTTTTATGATATTCCTCCAAACTCAGCTAAACATCTCTTTTTCTGTATCATAAATATTTCATTGAATTCAGCATTCATCTAAGAGCTGAGTTAACTGGCAGATAGCCAAGAGCTGTGGATCTTTGTTTCTGTTGTGAGGGTTTATCAATTAGGGAAAATTGCTGCTCTAAAAAACAATTCCAGAATTTCCATAGCTTAACAAAGTAAACATTTAGCTATACCGTTAGTAGAGTGTGGACTGAATGAGCAAAACCACAGAAGTTTGTAAAGAATTTATACTGAAACAACATGTAGACTGCTTCCTTGGGTTTAAGTCCACATATTTGCCTCATGGGAGCACTATATATTATACTGTGTGTGTGTGTGTGTGTGTGTGTGTGTGTACATATATATATGTATGTATCTTGATTAGAAGTTACTGGGTTGTTCTAGATGGTTAAAATTATTTTTAGGAAACCACAGAAACTGTCAGAACGATTTACTATGAAAATATGTGCACAATTTGGCAATCTACAAATATATATACAACAGCTGACATTTTCTTAGGCTGCTAATCAAATCGAATTAGAAAAGAGCTAAAAACAGAATCAAGTTTGATGAAAGATGTTGAATGTATCTAATGCTATAGGAAGAAATCCTTTCTACACTAATCTTTGACTACTTTGACGAATTATATTTAGATGATGGATGTACAACACTTTCTCAAATATGACAGAATAACTAAAGTGAAACCATGATTAAAACATTTTATTGGCGTGAAGTGTTTAAACTGCCCAACAAGGGTGCACTGTGTGTTTGATCACTATATACCCTGGGGTTTCTGAAATGTTCCCAATTTAAATATTCTACTTTGTTTCCCCTGTAAACTATCCCAGAAATGCCATTATTTTGAAGTTCAAACTGCTTCTCAAGTCTGGAAGTGAAACAGAAAGCCTTTGACAGATCACCTGTATCAATTTATAATGGAGAAAATGCATTTGCTTTTATACTATCTCACACCAAAAATATGAAAAAGGATATATTTCTGCCCTCAAGTAGCTTAGAGCTTAACACAGAAATAAAGTCCAGCTAACAAAAGAGTAGAGAGGGAAAGAGGAAGAGGAAGAAATCAAGGAGTTTAAGGGAAAGGGTTTCTGATCCACAATACTTTGATACCTGGTGCCATTTAAAGTACCAATGATTTAGAATTTCTCTCTGGTCCCACTTCTTGTGATCCTTTTCCCATACCTTCTTCAACTGGGGCCAGAACAAGCATTTAATAGAAACCAATTGATTGGGGCTGGGCTCCTAGGTAGAGTGGACTCTTTCTAAAAAGCTGTGTGTCATATAGTTTGCCCGAACAAAATCAGTGTTCAAACACACATTTTATAGTGAATTTTAGTTTTAATATTTGTTAACACTTCCCTTCTCTGGAACTCCTTCCAAAGTAGAGCTCTTACTTGCTTATCTTTCTCAGACCATTGCTTTGCCTAAAGTAGCTACTCGATAAAACTTAGTTTCTAGGACAGTGCTATTTGGTAGAACTTTCTGCAAGGATATGCTGTATCTATGCTGTCCAGTGTGGTAGCCACTACCCACATGAAGCTATTGAGTACTTGAAATGTGGCTAGTGTAACTGAAGAAATGAATTTTTAATTTTTATTAAAATTTAAATGAGGCTAATGGCTATGGTAGTAAACGACACATTTCTAGAAGGTGACTGATTGGTATCTCAGTCTTAACATGTCAAAACCCAAGCTCTGTGTGCACGTTCCACCTCAATCTTTGCAGCTTTTCTTCTGTCTGCTGATAGTACTCTGCAGCCAGGTGTCTTTGTGATTTACTCCCTTGGGTGTCTTCTCAAATGTGAACTTAATCATAGAGCCCCTCCCTGACCACCAAGTTCATACACACACTTGCACGCACACACATGCTTTCTGTCTGGCATGCTTTTGACAGCACTTACCCCACCTGACATGTGACATGTAGGCCACAATCCCTTATCCACATTGTGAAATCTAAAAAATTCCGAAATCTTAAAGTTTATTATACTTCATTTATTAGCAGTACCTGGTATGGCTTAAACTCACTTGGTGATAAAAACTGATCCAATTTGATGTGAGACTATTTTAGTCTATATTTATACCATTCAGTATGAATATTGATACATTTTTCTTTGGAAATTTTTAAATGTTTGATTACAAAACTTGCAGGACAGCACCATACTACCTTTCTACAATCTAAAAAATTCTGGATTTTTAGAATCCAGATTTTTGACACGTGACCTTAAAGCTGTTGGATAATAGACAGTAGACGTACATTCATTTATTTGTGTTTTGTCTGTACTGTTCTGTCACTTATTCCCATAGCTTAAAACAATATCGAAAATCTTGTGAGCACTTGAGCCATTTTTACTTACAATACTTCTCACACCAACTGGGAATCCAGCAGTTCATTTCTCTTCTGAAACTATCTGCCTGGAGAATCCCACAAGTTAAAGGGCTCAGTGCTACGAGGCTGCCTCACCTCAGGCAGCAATTGCAGGTCCAGGGCCACCATATTTCTGACCAACCAGCTATAAGTTGGGGGTCCCCACAATGTATTTTATGTACCTATAGATGAGCTTTAAAAATTATGTGCTTCATATGTCTCATTTTTCATTTGTTATATTGTGGATTTTCCACATCATTTGATCCTCATACTCCTCACAACAGTGTCATGAGGAAGGCACGGGTCTTGTCTTCACTTTACATGTGACCAAACCGAGGCACAGGGATGTTAAAGAACTTGCCCAAGCTCACCTAGCCACTGAGCAGGTACTGGGATTGAAACCAGTGGTCTGACTGAAGAATGCTCTTAACCACTATTTTATTAGTATGTTAGTTATGGCCCCTGTAATCTCAGTGGACAACTATTAGCAAATACCATTACTGATTGAATTACATTGAAACAAGAAATAAAAATCCTTAATGGCAAAATATACTGCTTTTTAAAGCAGTATATTTAGCATCATTTATAATTTTGATGTTTATAATAGTCTAATCCTCCCTAATTCTAAGTAGCTTCTATGTTTTCTACATCTGTAAAAGATTATTTATCTCTCTCTCTCTTTTTTTCTTTTTTTTTTTTTAAGAGACAAGGTATCACTGTGTTGCCCAGGCTGGAATGCAGTGGCATGATCGTAGCTCACTACAGCCTCAAACTGGGCTCAAGCAATCCTCCTGCCTCAGCCTCCTGAGTAGCCGGGACTGTAGGCGTGCACCACCATGCCCAGCTAATTTTTTAAATATTTTTTGTAGAGATGGGGTCTCAGTATGTCACCCAGGCTAGTCTTGAACTCCTGGTCTCAAGTGATCCTCCCACCTCCCAAAGTACTAGGATTACAGGCGTGAGCCACCATGCTCAGCCTGTAAAAGATTATTTTAATGAATATGAATACACATGATTCATAGCATGCAATGTTTTAAAATAGGTGAAATAAAGGCATAAAATTTCTGGGTGACCCATATTTGAATAGTTGAGTTTTGGTGTGGATTTTCAAAAATTTCCTGTTACTTCATAATCATCCATTCCACTGTAAGTTAGGTGAAAGTAAGGTGTTATCCTCTTTTCTTTTAATTTATGTGAGCCATCCAATAATATTCCATTAATGCATTAAAATCTGTATGTAACTTTCCCCGGTATATGAAGTTAATCGTTTTGGGGATAGTGTCAATTGCTTCAACCATTTAAAAGTATAATTAATAGTGTATTTACTATTACTAAATTGGATCACAGCTACTTGACAATGACACACAGTCCTACATAGCCAAACAGCTTAAACTACAAATGCCATAGATAGATAGATATTCCTTTTATTAGTTTTAAGGCTATATCAAGTTAGTATGCAAGGTAGAACTAAATGTATCCATTTAATAAAATGCCCTAACAGGAATTTTGCTGGAGGAATCTGAATCTGTCTGAATGAAATAGTATCTATAGGGCCTTGCCAAGTATAGGTATTAAAAACAATGATTATGGGATTTAATTCTTATATAAAATATTTAAAAACCAATTTTTATAATCAAATGTATTCATTCATTTACCTTTCTTTTAAAAAGCTTTTTTATATTGTTGGATGGATTTTTTGGTTTTTTTTTTTTTGCCTAATAGTACTAAATATGCATTATTTAACAAAAAGGAAACACTGGCAGTAAAAGCAATTCTAAATAACCTTCTATCAAAACATTCTCAGAGGGCAGCAGTACCATTAACATTGGAAAATCAGCTATATATTTAATCATGACTAAATTAGGGTCTTTAAGTTTTTTAATTTAGCTCATGTCATGTAATAATTCAGTTTTCATTTTAAAGATGTTTCCTTGGCCTGACAGAATTGGAGGGGACTCTCCCAGTCTAGTCTAAGCCCTCACATTACTGAAGAGGAGACAGAGGTTCAGAGAGAAGGAAAGAGATGCCTAAAAGCAGCTGATGGGCAGCAGAGGCGGGAACACAAAACGCTGTGATCTTTGCAGCAGTTTGTATGCACAGGACAGTTTTAACCTTGCAGATGTGTCATGCGGTTTTTCTTGGGACAGTTATAGTAACGTTTAACCTGAAAATCATGAGAAACATTTTTTATTCCAAAAAGCCAATCCAATGTGCTAAGGCTTTCTTTTTCATTCCCCTTGTTTGCCTGGGTATTTTTATAGTAGTAACTAATATTTGTATAGCACCTTTCAATTTTACAAAACATTTTTTTTTTTTTTTTTTTGAGACAGAGTCTCACTCTGTTGCCCTGGCTAGAGTGAGTGCCGTGGCGTCAGCCTAGCTCACAGCAACCTCAAATTCCTGGGCTCAAGCCATCCTACTGCCTCAGCCTCCCGAGTAGCTGGGACTACAGGCATGCGCCACCATGCCCGGCTAATTTTTTCTATATATTTTTAGTTGTCCAATTAATTTCTTTCTAATTTTAGTAGAGACGGGGTCTCGCTCTTGCTCAGGCTGGTCTCGAACTCCTGAGCTCAAACAATCCGCCCGCCTTGGCCTCCCAGAGAGCTAGAATTACAGGTGTGAGCCACTGCGCCCGGCCTACAAAACATTTTTATATTTTATATTCTCTCTTGACTCTCAGAACAACCTTGTCAGTTAAGGAAAGACTGCTCTCTCCTTACAGATGAGGAGACTGAGGCTAAAGGAAACTTTATAATTTGTGCAAATCATACAATAGGTGCCAGAGCCTGATTTAAGCACAAGCCTTTCTTCCCCAGAGCCCTTGTTCCTTCTATTCTGTCCAGCTTTATATAATTGAAAGTTGCTTTTTTAAAGTCAGATTATTGTCATGACCAATCTAAAGGAAGTCTCTGATCAGCCCTTTTGTTATGCAGATAACAAGGTCTTACATTAATAATGGCTACCGTGTATTGAAAGCCTGCTATGGGCCAGGCAACGTGGTAGGTGCTTATTACACCCGACCCTCAGGATCTGTGAAACATTTTAGGAGTGAAGTTACGTAATTTCTCTAGTAAAGCATTCACCCAGGATTAAAACTTCAATCTGTTTGCCTCCAAAGCCCCAACTTTCAGCTGCACCCTAAATTCAGGTTTCCTTAAAGGAGAAGATACCCATGTGCTTACAGCAAAATCATTCTTCGTGCTACTTCTGAATTACATATGTGGGTTTTCATGTTTACACACCCAGATGTCCATTTATTGACACAGTAATTGTGAAAATACTACTGTTGGTTCAGAAGCTCATGAAATTTGAAAAAGAGGGCAGGAAAGGTAAATTAGTATATGGATTTGCCAATATAATTTCCAGATGGCAGGGTCAGTCTTTTTTCCTTTGTAATAACGTTAACTACTAATGTACACTTTTCACAAAATTAAAATAATCCATCTGAACTACCCAGCTTAAATGAGAATATTTAGGAAGTTTGTTCAAACTTATGACTTTACATTGTCTTCTGAAATTTTATCTTCCATAATTATTAGATAGGTTCAGTATTTTTTTTAATTTAAATGTGATTTTCTGTTTTTATAAATAATATCCTTGGGGTTTTTTGGTTTTTTTAGAAGAATCTTTAAAACTATTACTGTCAAAACTGACAGTTTAGGGGCCTCATCTTCAGGCCCCTCTTTTTATATGAAATTATTCTGAAGAGTTGTTGTCATTGAGGCGATTTTTTATTTGCCACCAGTGTGCAGGAAGATACTGCTGTGTGGGTTGGCTGTGGGTCGGCCGAGCACTCACGGGGAGACGGAGAGGACACCCGGGCAGCTGCCTGTTAGCCGAGTAGCAGGTTCTCCGTTGGCTCCAAGTCTCCCTTCAGGAGAAGTGGCGCCCCAACCTTCCCAAGTCCTGATGTGCACAGAAAGCAGAGGGATTTGCACAGTGGACGTTTTCTCAAGTTTTGAAGTTCTTCCTGGTTCCTGGGACCAGCCCCTCGTGGCTTCCAATAGGGATTCCAGTGTCCTTCATTGTCTCAGCTGGAAAACAAACTTTGTTCAGTGTTGCCTCAAATAAGCTATTCTAGGCAATCAGACATTTGACAAGAGTGTAAGAGTTTCATGCAGGTTGAATTTCCCTAAGCAAGTCTGAAGAGTTACATGCAGTGTACATCCTATAATTTTATACTGTTACACATCCTGAGGGGTTCGGTATCTTCAAGTGAAGATTTTAGAGGCAACACGGACTGGACTCTAAAACTTGATGTTGTGATGCTAATCAAGATAGACAGTTATCAAATGGTGTCCTCTGTTGTATTATTTAGCTATTATGTGTCCCATTTTGACAATTTATTCTTATCTATTTTACCTAGGTCGAACTGGAAGGTACACCCTTATAGAAAAATGGAGAGATACTGAAAGACACTTAGCACCTCATGAAAACCCTATCATATCCTTAAACAAATGGGGGCAGTATGCTAGCGACGTACAGCTAATCCTGCGTCGGACAGGGCCGTCCCTTGGTGAGCGGCCCACCTCAGACAGTGTGGCTCGGATTCCTGAAAGAACTTTGTACAGGCAGAGTCTGCCCCCCTTAGCTAAACTGAGGCCTCAGATTGACAAATCAATCAAAAGGAGAGAACCTAAAAGGAAATCACTAACATTTACAGGAGGTGCCAAAGGATTAATGGACATTTTCGGAAAAGGTAAAGAAACTGAGTTTAAGCAAAAGGTGCTAAATAATTGCAAAACGACAGCAGATGAGTTGAAGAAGCTGATCCGTTTGCAGACAGAGAAGCTTCAATCCATTGAGAAACAGCTGGAGTCTAATGAAATAGAAATACGATTTTGGGAGCAAAAATATAATTCCAACCTTGAAGAGGAAATTGTTCGTCTGGAGCAAAAGATCAAAAGAAATGATGTAGAAATTGAGGAGGAGGAATTTTGGGAAAATGAATTACAGATTGAACAGGAAAATGAAAAGCAGCTGAAGGATCAACTTCAAGAAATAAGACAGAAAATAACAGAATGTGAAAGCAAATTAAAGGACTATTTGGCACAGATCCAGACCATGGAAAGTGGTCTTGAAGCAGAAAAATTGCAGCGGGAGGTTCAGGAGGCACAAGTCAATGAGGAAGAGGTTAAAGGAAAGATCGGGAAGGTCAAAGGGGAAATTGACATCCAAGGTCAGCAGAGTCTGAGGTTGGAAAATGGCATTAAAGCTGTGGAAAGATCTCTTGGACAAGCCACCAAACGATTACAGGTAGGAATCTTTATACAAATAGAATGTTTCACCTATTCAAAAGAATTAGTATATTCTTATAATCTTCTTTCACGATTGTCTAGCTTCCCTGATATTTAAAGAATTAGAAACCCAACTTTGCTTAAAAGTTTCGTATAATTCTTGTAACTTACAACGAAGCTTAGATATGAGACCAGAATAAAGATAAGACCTAAAGCCACTAATCCTTGCACCATGGAAGAGGCTTTTTTACTGTGGCAGTTGCAACATTAGATCATTGGATATAAGAGAATAGAACATCAGAGCTGCAGTGGACTCTAACAAGACAGGGAAGCTGATCTGCTCCTTTTAGAAATAGGGAGACTGAAGGCCAAAGAGACTGCCATAGATTGGTTGACCAGAGATCGATGCGGCTAGTGGACTGCTTCTCTGGCACGTGTGCATTGTTGCGAGCCAGCCCCGGCTTCTTTCCCGAGTTGTAAATAGTCCCCATCTCCCCTCCACTCTCCAGAGTACCCTTTGCTTTCCTGAGAGAGGCACAAAGATTCCTCTCCGATTTTTCCCCTCTCTAGTTCGTATGTAAGAACGCTTACATTCCTCCCTTAGACCCTGATCACTCAACTCTTACTGTATTTCTTGGGTGCACATTCTTGAAAAGACACTGTGATTGTGTTGTGGGAGTTGCAAAGAAGTATCAGTCTCTAACAGATGAGATGAGAAACAAACACAACTGATTATAATATGGCTCTTGAAATTTAAACCAATTAAAATTAATATTCAATAAGGCTGTATATTGTTAAATAATTTTAAAATTCTGTTTTTAGTCACAATAGCACATGTGGCCACTATATCGGACAGCACAGATATGGAACATTTCCGTCACTGGAGGAAGTTCCGTTGGACCGTGCTGGTTCAGGAGCTTGCTATTCAAAGTGCAGTCCATGCCAGGCAGCTTTGGGGCACAGTTGTTAGAAATTCAGAATCTACATTGTCACAAGATCCCTAAGTAGCAGCCATGCACATTGAAGTTTGAGAAGTTTCAAAATCAGAGAAAGCTGAGGTTTTAGGAAAAACCAGTGTGATTTCCTTTCTCTGTCACTAACTGTAGTGAGAGAGAAAACTATCAGAACTTTCAAAATCAGGAATGTCTCATGCAGTAGAAGGTTGTTAGCCTCTCATTTGTCAATATTTTACTATTTGGATTCATCTTGACACTTAAAAAGGTACAAGTGGAAGTTTTGTTGCCTTTGGTATTACTTAACAGGAAACACCAATTTACGACAATCATAAGTAGTAAATCCCGCACCCATTGAAAAGTATCTAATAATCAAATTACTAACATATCACCAAGTATCCCCTACACTCAGAGTAAGTGGAGGAAACAACCACTGAATTCTACTGTCTCTTCCCAACACTTACCAAACCCTTTGGACACACCCAGCCTGGGTTGGGGCGTGGGGCCATGCCACTTATAGGGCAGTAGAGGAGAGAAAGATGAAAAGCTGTTTAAATGATACCTTGCTTTTGGAGTGTTCCAGCTGTCCAAATTTGCTATCCTGCTTTAGGGCTCTATAGTTCTCAGATCTGTCAAGAACCTCATAGTGAGAATCTTATGGGAATCTTGCTTTACTCGTGCTGTAAGATAAATCTTAATGGATTCCATGAAAACTTAAAACAGTTAACAGAAAACAAGAGCTTTCAATCTCAGGACCAAATTACAATTAATTTTGCAGTCATTCATGTGAAGTGGATAATAGGGAAATTTGTGACCAGCTTACTAGCAAGATTGCTATACCACTGGGATGGTTAGAGACCCGTATTTTTTAATGAAAGTTTATAGACATACGTTTATTTCATAAGGGTGCATAATGGTGTTTCAGAGGAAAGCATCACATTTAAGAGGACAAACTGAAGAAGCTATTGTCTTTCCTTTGCTTGTTTTTTGGCCCATGCCAGAGTGAAAGGACCTCTTTAGCCCATTGTACTGATATAAATGTGATCTTGTGAAAGCAGGTGTCTCACATTTAACCCCTGCAGCAGGTGGACTTGTCACTAGGATGTCTTGAACTGACCAATAGTGAAGCCTCACATTAAAAAAATAATAATTTCCATCTAGGACAAAGAACAAGAACTGGAGCAGTTGACTAAAGAGCTGCGGCAAGTCAATCTCCAGCAATTCATCCAGCAAACAGGGACAAAAGTTACCGTTTTGCCAGCAGAGCCCATTGAAATAGAGGCCTCACATGCGGACATAGAAAGGGGTAAGATGTTGATCAAGATGTTTTTCTCCCTTATTCTCATTGCTTAACTTCGAATAAACTGCTTGCAATTCAGTTAAAGTATTATCTTTTTAAGTGGGCCACTTAAAAATTTTTTTTCCTTATATCTTGTTTCTGGGGAAAATCAATAATATTCAAATTATTTATTTACTTAGGTGAGCATCTAATCACCAAATCTCGTATCATTGGTTTTAAACTGCTTCATTATAAAAACTTTTCTTGAAGTATATGTGAGTCATAGTCTGTTAATTTGACTTTTAGCTTCTCTCTGTTCCAAATGCCCCTTCTTTCCTTCTTCCCCTTCTAAAAGTTTTTATTAATTTGAGCTGATATTTAAAAGACAATTCCAAATCTATGTATACATATGGTGTGAACATCTAAGAAAGAGAAGCGAAATGCTCACCTGTTCTAAAGATCATTCACTGTTCCAATCCCTGAAATCTGGCTTATCAAATAGGCTTCCATCTGAGAGGGTTTTAGCCTTCTCCTCCCAGTCCAGAGCCATGGGGGCTTGCAATTGTTGTTCTAGACAGTTCTTTCTTTCAGGTTATGATTTTTCATATTGCTGAGTACTCTGAGGTGATGAGTATATTGAATGACTTTCTCTGTTTCCGGTTTAGAGGTGCCATTCCAGTCCGGGTCCCTGAAGCGACCTGGTTCATCTCGGCAGCTCCCCAGTAATCTTCGCATTCTACAGAATCCTGTCTCATCTGGTTTTAACCCTGAAGGCATATACGTATAACGTTGTCTGTCTTTACGGGGGAGACCCAATAAAGGTACCAAGGACAGTAGAATTCTCTCTTTGATTTGTGCCAATGACGAACAGAGGGTGTATTTCACAAGCCACCGTGTCTTTTTTCTCTCCTAAATCGCATACCACTTGGAGCCATACCCTGTGCACTGATGCTAAAGAACAAAGAAACTGTGTTTTCACACATCAACAGTGTTGATATTTTTGTCCAGCAGCTGTAATGCAAAGCCTTCATTTTTATTTGTAGCATTTTGTGAGCATTATCAGTGTCATACTATGTGTATACATAAGTAAACCGTGACTTAAAGAGTGAAGACACATTTGTGACTGGCCTTAGTTTAATTTATTTCATGTAATCAATTAATGTGTGAATGTTGATGTTTTAATATTTTTTATTAATACTTATCCTGTGACTTAATTACATTACATATTGTGTGATTATGACTTTGTGTGCATGTTGCCAGACCCCCTCCACGCATTGCTAATTTACAACTACACAAGCGTCATAGGGTGTCCACCATCGAAACCAACTCCAGAAGAACCCACTTGCATTTATTTTCTGAAACTGTCCATTAGCCATTGCTTAATTAGGTGAAATAATTCAGGGTTTTTTTTTTTAATCTAGAATTTAGTCTTTACTTTACAATATTCCCAAATATATGAGTGACCACATAACATGTTTTTCATGAGGTAAATTGTATGTGTAAAAGGTTTGCAGTGTTTCAGATACTGTTGAACAAAAATGTAATTGTTGATATCTATCCAAACAGGCATGGGGTTTCCTGATACATTATATGTTTCGTTTCTGCCCTGCCTTATCATTTCCTTTCATGGGTCCTTAGAATTGACATAATATGTAAGTTATAGTGGACCAGATTGCTCTGCTTCTGGAATGTTGCTTTAAGCACTGTACTTTAAAATACCCACTTCATATGTATGATCTGTTGGTATACATACCCATGGGTAAGTTATTGCTTGCACGTAATTTACCATTGGGATTTCCCTAGTCACTTATAGGGAAAGTAGATTGGAGTTAGGTACTTTTTACCAAGGAAATAAAATCAAATTCAGTATATGTTTTTTTTTTAAGCTTGACTTTTATAAGACATTAATCTGCATTTGTACATGTTGTTTTACCTATAAAACCAAAAATGAGTCAATGCCTTTCCCGTGAGTAGTGACGTAACTAAGATTTTTAAGAATATTTAAACAAATGCAGTCAGACACCACTTAGCCATTTTTACATTCCCTCTGGTCAAATTTGGTACAGAATAATGAAGACTTTAATCTGAAATTTAAAGTAGTTTTTAATTCTGAAGAAAATAAATTCTCTGTGTCATTTACATGCAACAAAATAAAAGTGGGTTGATATAGTAAATGCCATGGTAACAATAAAAAGATATGTCTTATGCATGAAGGCAACTTTGGATGTTTTAACACATTTGACTTATTTTTTTGGTTCAATGAATGCTGAGAATGCTGCTTTACTTAGGTTTCCTATAAAAAATTTTAAGAATGGCTACGAAAATATAGAAGCTTCTAGAGAACTGAAAGTAATAATGTAGAGTTGCCTTTTCTAGTACAGCTAAGTGGCAGACCTCACCTGAAGATATTATTTTTGGGGGTTCTTGGAGTTATCGAGTTGATCTTGCCATTATATTACTTTGCAAATAACTGAAGAAGCGAATGATTTTTACCTAAATAACCACAGCCTGTACACATTTGCTCTCAGTTTAAAATAGTTATTTCATTTCAACATACATTTAAAAGTAGGGTAATTAAAAATCAAAATAATTTGTAGCTTTTGTGAGAACTTTGATTTATGTACGCCCAATATATGCCTTATTTTTAAAGAGTC